GGAGACGGAACTTCTTGTGTTTCAGCTTGTGGCCATTACCCCTCGTCCTATCGCTGGCCACCAGTGAGAACAGCCTGTCCCCTTCCTCCCTGCATTCTCCCTTCCTGAACTTATACACATTAATCAGATCCCCTCTCAGCCTTCTCTTCTCCAAAGAAAACAGGCCCAGCTCACTCAGCCTCTCCTCATACGAGAGATGTTCCATTCCCTTAATCATCCTGGTTGCCCTTCTCTGGACCCTCTCCAGAAGCTCCACGTCCCTCCTATACTGGGGTGCCCAGAACTGAACACAGTACTCCAGGTGCAGCCTCACCAGAGCTGAGTAGAGGGGCAGAATCACCTCCCTTGACCTGCTGGGAACACTCCTCCTGATGCAGGCCAGGATCCCATTGGCCTTCTTGGCCACGAGGGCACAACTAAAGGCTGTTTTCCTTCTTTCTTCTTCCCTCCCTCGACAGACCAGCAGCTCTGTGAGCAGAGAGCAGGTGGGGGCAGGTGCCCCCGACCAGCCACCCGCTGCGGCCAAGGGGCAGCCCACGGTGCTGCCGCGTCCCGACCCCGAGCAGATCCACCGGAGCCTCCTGGCTGCCATTCGCTCCGGAGAAGCTGCTGCCAGGTTGAAAAGGGTGAGTTGCCCTCCGTGCCCCGTGCGGCGAGCGCAGCCCGGCCAGCAAAGCTGCCGGCTCCGGGCCCTGCGTGAAGAGCCGGCACATCTGCCTGAAGCGCTGCAAGGAATTTGTGCCTGGGCTATGGAAGAGAGCGGGGAAGAGGGTTTGATTTTGCAAAGAACACAGGAAATGCAAATGAAAACAAACAAACAACCCAAAACAAAAAAGCATACGTCCATATTTTCAAACAATACCAAACCAGAAATCATTCTCAGATGTGTTCAATACCCATAAGCTATCAGTGAAGTATCTCTTCCATGCTTATGGAATGATTTGAAGTGCTGTGTTTTTAGCTTCGTGTTGAAAAGTTCGTCTGAATTAGCTGCAGCCTTTGGCCAACAGGTAACTTGTGTTTTGAAAGTAGGTTTTTGGTTTTTGTGTGTGTGTGGTTTTTTTTTTTAAGCCTATATCAAGTCCTTAATTTTTCCAAAATATAGTTGAAGCCTCTTGCTGCTCTTTGCTGTCTTCAGTAGATTTTCAGTGTTTTGCCTACAGCCCTGGTTAGGTGACTGCATATACTTTCTTCCCCCACAGGCAAAAAACTATTACCTGATTTTTATTTTTTTTCTCTTTCCTACTAAAATTCATCCAATTCATTGCATACTTAAAAAAAATATATATATCACTTTAAATTTATGAACAGGCAGTGGAATGACAGTCTCACACAAAACTTTTTTGACCCCAGCATTAGCATTTTACCTTCTGTAGTGAAGAAAAATCCTGTTGTAGAAAGTTAAAGAAATCCAGTACATTTTGGTTCTCTTCCCTTTCCCACCTGCGGCTTGAAGAAACAAATGCTGTGTGAGCTGGTGGGTGGGTGATTTTTTTTATTTTTAAATAGAAGCCTTTGATTCTTTAGAGTCGAAATCTGAGCGGCCGTTGGGGTCTCAGTGCATTTTGGTGCCAGCCAGCTGGTTTCGGATATACAAGGCTGGTTCAGGGCAGCAGTGCAACCGCCTCTCCCTAGCCCTGCTCTCCTCCCGGTACTGAGGGGGAAGGTGTCCCCTCCCTGCCCGCCCGCCTGCCGCAATTGGAAGGTTCTGAGCGTGTTTGGGTAGGGGTTGACCCGCAGTCAGTGCAGGGGGAGCGTAGAACAGTGCAGTATTGCCTGGAACCATCTGTCACTACCCAAAAGTCACTTAAAAAACAGGATAAGAGTCAGCAAATGCTGTATTGTTCAGAGTCACTTAGAGGTCAGATCTGTCTGTTCTACCAGAAATAGCAGTTGAGCTTTTGCTTGCATATATTTTTATTAAAGTTTTTTCCCGAGGCATAACTGCCCTGCTAAAAACTTTTTTTTTAATGATTGTATAGGAAGTATGTATGAGCATGGCTCTCATCATGGTAACTTGTAACTTTATTTAAAAAGTGAAAATTCACAAAGTGCTCCTCAGAATTCGGGATGCCTGGTACACAAAGGAAAGGAAAACTTTGGTGTGTGGTTATTTGTTACTTTCTAATAGCGATGGTCTCGGTCGTTTCTCATAGGTTTATTTGATGTATATGGGTTTTTTTTTTCAGTATAGGTACAAGCATGTACTGGGAAGAAGGAGGAATTACCGAAAATCTATTCCGCCTCCCTCTCTCCCTTCCTTCTTCATAGGTAGATGTTCTTTCCCAGTGTATTTGCAGAGACTTGGGAGGGAGGGCTGTAATTTTAGGGAGAACTGATTGCAATGAAGATGATGCCAGAAGCAGAAAAATTGTGCAGCCCTGAAACCTGAAACAAGAGGAACCCCTCCCCTACACACACACACACACACACAAAGCAAACAAGCAAAACAACAATAGCAACAACAAAAGCCAAATGCAAGGAAGATACTACTGAAATTTTGCTGAATGTAAAATTGCAGACACTGCTGCCTTCGTTCCGACCCTAAGCACACGTGCAGTGCCCGTGTTCGTCCCCGGGGAAAAGGTGTTTGTGCCTGTGGCAGGATTCAAAAATTGTTCCTGTGTTTGACACTGAGAAGTAGCAGTAATCGGACAAATGAGACGTGAGCACCCAGCAGTGCTTCCCAGTCTTGGCAGAGCTGGGCTGAGCCTGGATGATCCCAGCCTGGATGAGAGGCGGCCCTCCTGGCTGTGGGCCGCACGCTGCCATCAGCACAAGGCTGCGTTTGAGTCATGCCAGGGGCTCTCAGGTGCCCGCTCGTCTCCCCTCCTTGGGCTCTCCCTGTGTTTTCCATTCCTTCACTTCTGAGGGAAGCGCTCGGAACAAGAGAGACAAGTGCCAGCATCACTAGTCAAATGCTTTGTTTTTTTCCCCTTGTTTTACTTAATAAGCGGTCAGTTTACAGTGTCAAGATCTGTGGTCTTTTGTGTTTGCAGTCTTTTTTGTTGAATGAGGCCTTCAATAATTACTAACCTAAAATGGGTCAAGTGAGGTTCCTTTGTGATTGTTTTCCTCTTTGGAGTATTGTGGCCGTGGTCGGCACACCGTGCCGGGGCGGGCGCTTCTCACGACCGCGGGACGTGTGGACTCTGCTTGTATTCCTTGGTTTACACATCCGCATGGAAAACAGGTTCTTATATCAACCCTGAAAGTTACAGTTACCTCTTGCTAGAAGAGACTGTTTTCATGTCATAGCTGAATGTTAAAAGATTTTATGTTAGAGATCAATTTTATTCAATATTTAATGAAAATGTTTTGTTTGAAGTGAAAATATTTCACTCACTTCTAGTTGAGTCCTTCAAACCTGCTTGAAAAAATATGCAGTTTTGAATAGTAATATATTTAGTTTTTAGTTAGGATAAATGTGTTTTAAATAGCTTGGTGTTTCACTGTATGTACTTGGTTTGGAAATCACCTCAGAGTTCTCTGAGATGAGAAGAACATCTGGGTCCATGGTTATGGAAGTAACAGTATTTCTAATTTCATGAACAGACTTCTCTCTGCAGTATGTAGGGCAACATACTACAGAGTACAGAGAAGAATCTCAAAAGTCATGTTAATATCATTTATTGTAACTATTTCTTCTTTTTCTCCTGCCTCCAGGTTGGTCCTCCACCAAATGCTATGTCTGTTAATGGAAGAGCCAGGCTGACTCATCTATATTCTACAGAAGCAAAAACTAATCACTAGATGTTATACCAAATATTTTGCACTTTACTACTGCTTCATAGGCCATCTGAATACTAACTACGAATGATTGAAAGTGTAAATGCAAGTAGATGTTAATATATTTTTGTCAATTGGTATAGGAATTTCATGTTGGGTCCTTTGCGCAGGAAAGATTATTAGACTGTATAAATTATGGTAATATTTTGCCTTTTTCTCTTTATAAAGCTGATAATGCTGCTAAAAAGGTTTAAGAAAAGGTGCAGATGAACTTCACTTGTGTTGGGATGAGAATCAAAAATTTTTGATTTCAGCCTTCAAGACTGAACAATATGTAGTAGTATACTGAAAATACAGGTTTCTCTAAATGTAAGAATTTTAGATGAGTAATTTTGTAATTGTGTAATACTTTAACAGATTGTATGAATTTAAATCTACCAAATGTTGCCTCCATATTATTTTGTTAAATTAAATTTGTAATTAGTAGAGAATCTTAATTATATTCAATACTTTTGTTTCTCTAAAAAATGGATATTTGTTTTTGTTCCTTCAGCTGAAGTAGTTGAGCTAAGTATTTTTAATCTTTCTTTTTTTCCTGGTAGCACAAAAAAGATCAGGACATAAATTATTGGAAATTTTTGTACTACTTCAAAACTTTTCTTAACGGTAGCACTACATGACTTTCTGGTCTGCTCTTTAAATATCTGTATATAGTATCAAGGTAGTATTCATATAAGCAATATCTTTTGAGAACCAAATCTATTTTAAAAGTCATCAGCATATAATCACTTACCAATAAAATACAAATTCCAGTTTTTGATATTAATAGAAGAAAAAGTTTTCACTGAAAGTTTGACTAAAGAATGAACTGCTTGGGACTTTTCACGTAAAATATTTTAATCTTTGGACAGCACAGTAAAAGAATTAGAATGCATACTTGTGTCTGAGAGCCTCTATTTATAAATTAAGCATTAGATATGAAAATGGGAGCATACATAAAAAGAAAATGCTTTGTGTTATATTTTATCTATTTTGCATTTTTTGGCAAGATAATAGATTTTTGGGGGCAGGGGTGGAAATGTGATGACAGTCCTGATGAAATAGCTATATTGTGGATACATGCAGCACTTGCAGGTGTTTTTGCCAATATAAAGTATTTTCTTGATGGACTGGATTTAAATAAAAGTAATTGTATTAATTTTTATTCCTTAACACTGTATTTATTGTGTACCATAGAGACATTCTGTAACTCAGTTTCAGAAACTGATTTATAATTGTGCATTTCGAAGGGTTATTAATGGTTTGCTGCCACTTTTTTGTGCAATAATCTGAAAAGCCCTATATTACTTTTATAGTGGATTATTGATTACAAGCAAAATAATGTTAACTTAATGATAAATCCCTTCCAGGATTGTCCTAGTAAATAAAATATTATAAATACTGCTGATGAACATTTGTTCATGTGTTGTTGTTCTCCCATGTTTGGTCTTCTATAGTTTAGTCCCCTATAAATGTATTACTACTTCCTCGTCCTCCTTCTCCCAGTTCTTTTCTCCAATCAAGGGCTAATTTCAGAACCTGCATGGTAGTTCAAAAGGTCTTTTTTCAGGATCGAATGGCAAAAGAATCCACCACCCGGAGAATGGTGAGCTAGAAGAGGTAGATACCTTTTTTTTTTGTTTTGTTTTCTTCTGCTGGGATTTAGATTTTCCCCTTTCACTATATCTTGAGGGACAAACCTGAAAATTTTAACTCTCTCCCAGGAATCTAATAAATAAAAATGTCAGTGGTCATTGGGACACTGAAATTCCATGTTTCAAACGTTACTGGACAGTACGTAACTGTCCCGGGGAGGCTGCGCTGCTGAAGGGATCTCAGTGTTGGCCCTCGGGTGCCCCGGAGGGGGTTCCGTGCTTGTTCTCAGGCCTTTGTATTTTCTGCCAAAGACAACTGAAAGTAGTTCACGTGACTGCAATTTAATCTGCATGCAGTGATAGAAGATTGTACAATATTTTCTGTTCAGTTGGACTGTGGAATCAGATTGCTCTGGGTTGGGGGAAGATCAAACAACCTCGCTTAGTTGTTGCTTTCTTTGGCTTTGACTACAAAGTTAAACAACTGTATATTCCTTAGTCCCGTATGTTAAAAGTGCATTGCCCTTTCATGTGAACTCCTGAGGGCAAAATACTGTGTTATGTAATAGAGATTCAAACCACAAACACTTCAGTTTAAGTTTAGGGTCTGTGTGGAACTTGCTTGATACTTAAATGAAATGTCTGCGCGCAAGAATAGCGTGAAATTGTTCACTGGGATTTTTTGTTACTAGCTGGCAATATAATTTAGCAAAATTTTTTTCCACCTTTCTTCCAGAGTGTATGTATAAGACACTTTAAAATCTTCCTTTTATATATCTAATGATGTACATATCAAACTGTCACTGATTTAATGTTGTATTTTTTCTGCATCAGGTTATGTAAACTGTAGGTCTGTAAATCTTCTGAATCTCAGTTTACTGTGGAAAATATGTAGCATGACTAGAAATGCTTGTTAAATATTCCTTCAGATGTGAAAAAAGCAAGTTTTGAATTGAACTTAGAAATTAAAAAATTGTAGTTGTCAGTGCAGGGATCTGCTGCTACCTCTGCCGTGACCAGAGAATGCCAAAGCAATGGGGGCACTGCACCCTTTTTTGCAGGCATTTTTTTTTTTCATATCTGAGTTTCATAACTTAAATGTTCAACAAATGTGTAATAGTTGAAGTGTTCTAACTTCTTAAAGCATGAAAGATCCCCAAACGTTTAACAGCACACAATTAGGTGGACCTAATCACTTCATTAATGAAATAGTGTCACTTAAGCTCTGCAGCGGCTTTGGTTAGACACATTGCCCTGTCAAAGCACCTGAGGATGACTAAAGTACCAATGGTTCTTGAAATACTCAAGTGTTTCTGTTTTAGAAGTGTCACAGCGCCTTCCCAACTGTCTCTGGTCATTTCTAAAATGTAAGTTTAAGCTTGCTGTGATTTATGAATGAGAATATTGTGTGTTGTAGTCACTAATGGGAGAGTCAGTGCTACCCGAACTTGCATGCAGAGGTCAACATTACTAATATGAAACAGGGACTAATTTAACACCAAAGCAATTCCCCAGAAAGACATAGCATTAGTTATTATTTAAATTCCATATGTGAAATGAGGCTTCATCACAAATTACAGACTTGGCACAGAGCTGACTGTATGAGTTTATATTATTACCATTGCATAGAATAGAATGGACATAGTGTTGTTTTATTTTTATGTATTAGTTATCTAAATTTCAACATGAAAGATTAGAAAAAAAACAGTGTGTTCCATATATCAGAAAACTTGTTAATTCTGAAGTAAGCTGATACGGAAGCTGCAGGCCTGGGAACACAGAACTTACCCATGTACCATAAATAGTGAATTTAAACTAAAAAGATCAGGTTATCACATCAAGTTATATGAGTACTTTGAAGAAGTCTAATGGCTGACAGAATTTTTGTTCAAATAGGGGTTCAAATCACTTGAAGTGCTGAAACTGAAGTGTGTTTATGGATAATTGCCTGGCACATTTCACTCAGATACATAAAAATGTGGTAGAATAGTCTCTCGCAAATGCCAAAGGGAAGCTGGGAATGGAGAACGTAATCACTTACAATACAGCATGTCTGGAGAGCTGATACTTGTATCCTCTACAGAAATAATTTCACATGTCTACTGACTGAACAGAGCTCTTATTCCTCCTTTTTTTTTTTTTTTTTTGGTTGAAGGGAGAGAGAGGGAAAAAAAACGCAGCAGCCTCTGCTTCATCCTCTAACGCAGCAGGATTATCATAGAATCATAGAATGCCGAAGGTTGGAAGGGACCTCAGAGGTCATCGAGTCCAACCCCCTTGCTCACGCAGGGTCACCTAGAGCACGTGGCACAGGGCTGCATCCAAGCGGCTTTTAAAGATCTCCAAAGAAGGAGACTCCACAACCTCTCTGGGCAGCCTGTTCCAGTGCTTTGTCACCCTCAACAGCACTTTATCTAGTGCTGTTACCAATCTGTGATGCACTACATCAGAATGCGGAACGGCAGTGACACGTCACCCAGGAGCCTGCTGCCGCTTGCTTAGTTTCAGGTCTTCCCTTGGACTGCTAGGCAGGACTGACCGTGTAGAGCCTGCTATATTTGATACGACCGTAGCAGAACAACTGCAGCCAGGTGGAAGACGATGAACGGAGGCACTGCGTGGTGGATCCCATCAGCAAAAGCCGTTGCATTTCTCATGCTGCCATGTGTCAGTGAAACCCGTGCTCTGCGAGACGGAGCCAGTTTGGCCGTGCAGGCGGGGGTCTCGCGACGGGTGGCTCAGCTCTGAGGTGCGGTTGCTGAGCAAGGCCCCGCGCCGGGCAGCCGCAGGTCTGACCTTCAGCGCCTCGGCAGCGTGACCAGGTGAGGCAAGGACTGAAGAAGGGCATCATGCGTGAGGGGCTTTTGTTTTGTTTTGTTTTGTTTTTAATATCAGAAAACTGAGAGAAGCGCAGGAATGCCGGCAGCTATGTGATTAGGTGCTCTCTTTCCAAGGACTCGTACTGTTAAACCTCCTTAGAAACCGCAGTCTAATGCTTCTTTAATCGCTGGACATTCTGGAGGGAGGCCTGGAAGAGGCTGTGAGGCCCCTGGTGGCCCCGGCTCCTGGAGCTGCCGCGATTCGGGCGTCTCTGGAGGGCTGAGGACTCAGAGCTCTGAGAAGGCGCTTGCCCGAGGCTCCCTGGACCAAGGCTCGTGAGGGGATGGGAAGAGGAGAGTTATTACAGTTCCCATAACAAGGAACATACAGGGCAAGCACAGGGCTAATGGGGGCTCTGCGTGCAGCGAGCACAAGACCAGCACAACCTGGACGCCCAGAATTCTCCTGGCGCTGTCCCGTTGGAACTTGCGAGAGCCGGAGAAAGGGAGGGTTGGGAAAGTTGGCTTCAGGACTGCACCTGAGGGTGGTGGGTTGGTTTATTTATTTATTCTTTGTCTGGTATTCATTTATTTGAAAAAAATGAACATTTCAAAAAGGGTGAAGAGAATTCAGGGTCTACTAGACCATCTCTCCAGAGAAAGGAAGTAGGTGAGTTCTTTTTCTTATGTGACTACTACATTCATTCAAAACCGTAATCTGGTGGTAATGTGAAATATAAATTACCTGATCATCCCTGGGCAACAGTGATACAGCAGAAACCTGGCTGGAACCTAGCAGGAAAAGTGGAGGCTTTCCTTCCAGAAAGTGGAGGAAAAAAAAGTGGCTATTTCTTGGATTGTGTTATGACTCTTCAGACTGTGTGGAAAAGGTGGAAGAAAACTGTGGTGAGAGAGAAAAGAGAGAGAAAACAAGAACTAAAATATCTTTAGAGACCTTTCAGGAAGGACTAAAAGAATAAGATTCATTTAGTATAAATGCAACAGGCTGACTGGGACAACGTAACCATCTCTCAACAGTAAGAGTCACTGCAGCAGGGAAAGTGAAGCTGCAGTCCGTATGTTTGTTCTGGATTTAGAACATGAGGGAGTAATGGCTGTACTGGGTCATGCTGAAAGGCTGTTTAACCTATTACCTGCCTTCTGGCAATGATCAAAAGGTGATGCTAGGGGAAACACGTGTGATCAATATCCAGCAAATTTTAGCTCAAATTTCTCAGCCAAGATGTCTATGTATTTTATATTCCTGAATGGTTCTGTCTTTCAAGAGCTTGTCTAATGATTCTTTCAGCTCCTGTAAACATTGAACAGTGATGGTGCTGCGTGGCAAGGAGTTCCTTGGCTTAATGATGCACAGTCTGAAGAACTGCTTTTTTTTTTTTTTTTTTTTCGTTTATTTTGATTCTACTTGCTAACTTAATTTTATTTAAGACTTAACTTGTTAATTCCCATTCGTGCTCTTTGTGCCACTCGTGCCTTTCCCTGAGCGAGAGGCTATGCCGTTGAGCAAGAGGCTGTACCGCTGGCCTTGGAGATGCGTATGCTTTTGCCCTTGTAGCTATTGGATGCCACCAGAGTTCATAAACACAAAGATATAGGTCTGAGCACATCTTATACTACACTGCTCTCCACATCTTGGGAAAAGGGAAATTTTTTTTAGCTAGATTTGTCTTTCAAATTTGATGCATTTGCTGTTTGCATGTTTCTCTCTGAGTTGCTCCTCTTTTTGGCACACTCTGTAAGTTCCTGCTTTGGCATGGGTGTCAGCCCACACAGCACAGCCTTCCCATGAGGCTTCTCTTTGTCTGGTGAGGTCTGATAGACAGTTCTTCAGGGCAAATAATGAAAGAAGGCTTTTGTCACGGTGAGCCACCTGCAGGAGAGGATCTGCCTGTGTTCTGTACAAGATCAAGAATTTATGAGAGGAGTTTGTGTGTAATAATTGTGAGGTACCATATATCCAGCTAGATGAAACCTTGCTAAGTTGCATTTATTCACAGGTGATCACAGGATGATTTATTTATCAGATGATCACATCTGAGTCACAGGTTCACAGCTGATCTTTTGAACTGACTATAGTGCACAAAGAGCCTACAAACTTGAAGCTGTGATATACAGGCTGCTCAATTTGTTGTCATAGTTGTTCATCTCAGTGGATAAGAAGATTATTTGGGCATGCAAGATGCACAAGCTTTATTCTGCACAGGAAATGTCAATCCACTTTTCTGATGGGAATTTCTATTGAATTTATTTCTTAAATTGGCAGCAATTACCTTTTGAAATCCATCACCACCATACTGTGTTTGATTATAATAGTTTGTCCAATCTAACTCACCATTTGCAATTTTTCCAGGAAATCATCAAAGCATCGGTACATTTTCTAGCAGCGAGAGAGGAGGAACGGGGCAGCTTAGCTGGCTGGCAGCCGCCTTGGGCACGGTGAGCTGGAGCCCAGATCATGGAGTGAGAGGAGCAGAGCCGGCCTGTGGACAGCAGCCAGGAATCTGGATCACCACAGGGAGGAGGCAGGGTCAGGATTGAGCCAAGACGTGTGTTCAGAGCTCTGTGTCCGGAGCAGCCGGCTCCGTGGCAGGAGGCTGCGACTCAGCCGGAGCACTGAGTGCTGGGCCTGGCCTGCAGGGCTGTCGGGTGGCGCGTGGCCCCGGGCGGTCACTGCCGTCACTGCCACGGCTGCAGCAGCCGAGCCGGCTTGCGGCGGCCACCAGCGCAGGCAGCCGCGGCGCGGGGAAGGAGGCGCTTGCGGCCCTTGGGCAGCACGGCCGTGAGCGGGAGGTGCCCGGCCAGAGCAGCGGGCCACGGAGGCAGCGGGCAGAGCTGGGCACTGCACAGCTCCGTCGCTCACAGCGCATGGAGGGGAGGCCTCGTGGAGAAAAAAATGTGAAAAATGGGGACCTGTGGGCAGGTTATCAATATGGATCTCTCATCCCCTTACAATGAAAAGGGTGCGTTAGGCAATCGACTGTAATAAAATTTTCACTGTACTGAATCACTATATTGAAGATTACTGTAAAGCCGCAGTGTAATGAACGCAGTGTATTTGCAGCGCGAGCGCTTATGAGTACAGCTATGCAGGAATCTAGAGCAGGCAGAATCCATCTGCCTTTCGTTCAAATACTCTTTGTAGTCTGGCTTGCAATTAAGCAGTGTTTTCTCCTGAATTATTTCTGCTGATTATTAACTTACTTTGTATTTTAATGTTAAAGTGAAACATGTTTAACTCTCTCTTTAAATGAACTACCTTTGTGGTGGTATTTTTAGATGGATCTTTTGATGCCTTTTTAATGGTACATTAAAACTTAATGAACGCTGAGTAAGAGTAGAATCCCTATGGAAGCACATATGGTATCCACATTAATACTGAATGAATGCATAATGATCAGTAAAATTTCTGTGATTTCCACATGAATCAACAGTGATGAGCCACTTAGTGTTACACTCAATTACATCATGTTTAATTTATGTAGCATTGTTTGGACATTATGTTGAAAATGTCTTTAGTAAATCATTGAGACTCTAATTGAGCCTCCATTTCTGTGACAAATTGCACTGTAAACATTAAATTCATTTTTTACACAACAATTAATTTATGTTGAAGCCTGTTTGCAAAGGGTCAACAATTTGATATATCTTCACTATTACTCCTGAATAATGGAATCCTAGCACAAAACCAAATTACGGTACCTGTTAAATTATTTCTGTTCCCTTAGTGGTGCAGGAGCCGGGCGTTGGGAAGGCATTAACTGCCGGAGCCCTGGAACCACGGGCAGAACCTCACCTGGGCGGTGGCTGCCGCGCGGTGACGCCGGGACAGCTCCTGGGCTGCGACCGCCGGCCTCGCCGTGCTGCTGCAGCCCCTCCTGCGGAATGGGTTAGCACCTCACTTTAGCACCAAGGGCTCTGAAACTGCAGCCACAGCCTGACAGGGGTAGCTGAAAGGGTGGCAAGGGAACATACCCTTTTGTTCAGTCTTTGAGCTCTTCTCATAATACCTGTCTGAGTTTGTATCTAATATCCTACATAGGACAAGCAAGCCAGGAGCTCCCCGCTTTGGGTGATCATCTGGCAGCCTGTGCAGATGAAGATAATCCTGCCTTATTTCCAAAGCACTACCGAAGAGTGAGGACCTGCTATATCTCCTCCTCTGTTTTCTTGTAGTACACTGAAAATGGGCTGCCTCCACACTGAGATGAAGGCTCTGCAAAGGGCGACTAGTGCCCAGAGGAGTATCCCTAATCAAAACCTGCCGCTGAAACATCCCGTGCGGCAACAGAATTCCCAATGATACAGGACATAGACTTACCAAAGGAGGCTGCCTCTTTCCAGGCTGGCTCAACATCACAACTGAGAACATACAGGTATCTGATTCTCATAAAAATAGTACAAATAAATCCACTTTGCAGGAGGAAAGTGGAAATAAGATAATTCAAATCCCCCTAGCAACAGCACATCTGGCTTTCGCCTTTCTCATGAGCCCTTCCTGCACTGACTCCAGAAGCGTCAGCCCGGCGGACTGTGCCCGCGCTGCCTCCCAGTGCGCTCCGCCGTGCCTTTCTGCAAAGATGCCTTGCAGGACAAGCCCAGGGCTGCCTGTTCTGTTCGGCCAGCGTGGCCACCTGAGCTGCTATCCGCACCGGGCTGCTTTTGGGCAGGGAAGATGCCCTCTCCCCTAGTACCTTAGAAGGGAACGTGCGCTCTCCAGCCCCGAGGCTGCTACTTGTCTCTGCTCTGTCAGGCCAGGAAGGTCTTGGCAAGAGTCTGTCTGGCTTTTTCTCCTCCAAGCACCTGCTCAGATTATAGTCTTCGCTTAGGCAAGTTTGTCACTAAGGGGTTGTCTCATTCAGGTGTCTCAACAAAGTGGGGGAGAAAACAGAGTTTGGACCAAAAGTCACGGCAGCTATAAAAAAAAAAAGGTTAAAGAATTTTTAGCTTCTGCGTGTTTTCTGCACTAAGTACTCATGAAGAATGAACCAGGCACTGCAACCATTTAATTTTACAGAGCAAATGTTTATCCTCTATGGTTATATGAAGTTAACGTGTGTATTTACTCCTCTTTTTGATCTTCTGTATTTTGATTGTCTGGTACCTTTAAAGGTGTCTAGTAAACAGCTGACCAACAACTTGCTACAGCTGCAGACAAAGAACTTTCTAACGATGTCAATCATAACAAAAGCAGCTCTCAGCTTCCTGGATTGCTGAAAAATGCAAATTCAGACCTTTAACAATTGCAGCTCAGGCTTTCATTTCTGACAGCAAAGAGAACGGAAAAAAGCCTTTCCATCCTAAAATGCTCTAAAAGAAGCTATTAGGATTTTTTTTTAAATTACGATTCACTTCATTCCTACTAGAATTAGTAAATGAAATAAAAGAAAGGATACTGATAGAGAAACGTTTCATTTTGTTTTAGAAGTCCTTTTCTTGGTTTATATTGATAAGTTTAATGATTCTATTCTGATTTCAGAATTTTATACTAAGTTAAATTAATTCAGTTTTAATCTGAATGAAGTATTGACTAACTTACTGGCTATGATGAAAAATATGCATATGCTACCAAAACAGAATGTATTTGCTAAATATATATATGTTATATACATATAAATCTGAAGTACACTTCCTTATATACACTTTTTAGCTGTGTAACTATTGCTAATTTGTTCTGTAGTTATATATTTTTAAGACTGTCATATATTAATATATTTCAAATTAGATATAATAAGGTTATAATACCACTCTAGTCTTTGCTATAACACTAATATAAGACATAGTGCAAGAAAATAATCGAACGGATGCCTTCAGCTGCACGGTGACTGTACAAACAGACTTCACAGTAAATTAGATTTCTTTGACTGGTGTTGTGCTTACAGTGATATAATTCATGTTTCATAACTCTGAAGAAATAACAAAGACATTGTAACCAGAATTGTGTCAATTTGAATAAATTTATTATGAATTGCTTTGCTTTTAAAAGCTCCCAATATGTTATAATAGAAGCCTACGTCCTTGCTTGAGAGCTAGCCAACCTATTTTGTAGAAAAACAAATAGGATTATAAAGTCTTAACAAATCCCTTAATATTGGGGTTTCCTTTCAAATAAACAAAAGGAAAATGTTCTAAAGATACTGGGCTAGTCAAAGAGCTTGTAATATATCTTTGTTTTAAAGGTGCTTTGGAAGTTTATATGCCTTCTACTTAGATACATGCAGAAACTGATGAGCTTGTGGAAATGATGTGCACTTTTGCCCAAACTGAAGTAGCAAAGCAGCAGAATCCAGTCTATGCCAGAATTCAGCTTTCTTCACCTCTTGCTGGACTGCAGTTGCATTTGGACTGAATGCAACAAGCAGGGGGCTGCTTCCAGCTACAGTACGAAATAACTGCTCCAACTAAAACCACACAGGTTGGCAGAATGTAAACTGAAATTTAGGCAGGGCGTGATCTGACACTTAGACAAAGCACCAAAGATACTGCAGCAATGAGGAGTTTCATGTACCACCTTTAGGGACACGAGACGGCTTTAGTGATATTCCCTTCTTCCTTGGCACCCTGGTGTTGGCTCTGAGGCTCTAGCCTGGCAGCACCCTATCGGGGGAGATTCAACCCCAGTTGTCGCCGCCACAGGATGCAAAACTTTCAAATTTACTTGATTGGCTCGAATTTCTTAAGGAATTTGCCTGTTGGGCTGCATTTTTACCAGCAGACGTTTTGACAGATGAGCTAGTGTTTCCTCCCACGTGTTTTTCATGTTCTGTGGCTAATTGGACAGCTGTGTGACAGAAGTGCTTGCCTCTTCTTTAGGTGGAACGGGTAATAACTGTGAGTGATCTAGTGGTACAGAAATCTAGTACTGCGAAAGAATGGCAACTTCGGCGCCTAAATTGCTTTGTAAATACCTGGACTTTCTTTATGAAGAAGGAATATAAAAGTCCAATAGTTCTTGGATAATAGAAAAAAGTTCAAGCAGGTTAGAAGTCTGAAAAATACATTGCTATTGTTTTAAAAAGGAAGGTCAAAGAAGGTAAAAAAAAAAAAAAAAAAAGTTGATTTCTCATCCTGAATTCTCAAGGAAGTAAAATAGATGAAGCTAAATTCACAAAACAGGAGGAGGGCACTGAAGGTTAAACTTAAAAGGGTTGAATGGCCATAATAATCTCCCTAATTTTAGAGGTGATCTTTGTACTCCTGCTGCCCATATGCTTCAGATATATTGGATGTTAAATTTCTTTGAAGTCAGGTGCAAATTATTTATGAACTTGTTCAGTAGCCAGCATTTTTCTCAATTTTTCATCCCAAAGGAAAATTTTTGCAAGACTTCTTAGTAAAGTTTAGAGTGTCACTGTGAGAAAGAACATCGTGTGGAACGATGCTGTGTGTGACTACTTGTGTCTCCTTCATAAATATATAAAAGTAGACTGGAAAGGTTCAGTCTTAGATTTGAATGTTCAGTTTCATGGAATTGTTCTATTTCTCACCATAAAGTCAGGAGTATTACAAAAAAAAATTTCAAAATGGACTGGCTACTATACACTTCCACGGCACAACTTTAATAAACATAAAAGCAAAAGAAAGGATGATTT